CAGACAGAGTACTTGAGATCAAGCGTACAACTTTGCTATATGAATGTCAGATGCTTTTTTAGGAGTTTTCTATGTTACTTGATGGTGATTCAGCTTCAGCATTTGTATCATGGTCAGTGATCCCTCAGCGATCTGAAGGCTGAGGTTGAGGCCTGTCCTTAGGACAGACTGCTAGTCACAACAGGCAGACTTCTACTTCTGGTAATCTAAAGATTACCCTGCTTCCCTTACAAGCTGTTGCTGTCAGCTTCAAGTGCACAAAGTTCCTAGTCAACAAATCTTTCTCCTGAACATGGTGTGACATGCAAACTGTTTTATAGTGACACAAAAAGTGCAATAAGAGGTCAAGCATGTGTGTTCCCTTTGAACTTGCTATATGAGGTGCAGTACCTGCACTGTGTATGGCTTTCTACTGATCTAATGAGAGGCCTGTGATGTTCATCATCTCTAGAGCACAGTGTGGTCTTTTACAGTGTGGTCTGCAAGAAGATGGACACAGCAGGTCTACAAAGAGCCATACCTGAACAATTAATTTTATTTACAAATGCAGATTTACTAATATGATGGCTAATGAAAAGCTAATCACCATAAAATATTTGATATATTAACATTAAAAATGCAGCTATAGTAATAAAAGTAGCATTGTAAAAATAGTATCCTACTGAACAGATCTGCTCCTTGTGTATACTCAAAACCACATCTGCCTAGCTTAGTGACAAAATGAATTTTTTTTCTGTACTCATTAGTAACATAAAACTAATGGATTCTTCTCCATAGCAACAGAATTCCCTGCCAGTTCCAGTTGCAGGCCTAAATTCCTCTCCCAGTTCATTCAGTACAGTTTTGATGAGAAGAGTGAGACAACACAGCAGTAGTCAAAAGGAGCACTCTAGGTCCCTGAGATTGCGAAGGTGTAACTTCGGACAAAATTTAACTTCCAGCTTTTTTTTTTTTTTTTATTGCTGCAGGTAATGCATAAGCCAGAAAGAACACAGCTTGACATTCAGAAACTGGCTTCTGTTTGCAGGTCTGGCAGTTGGCAAAAAAACCATTATACTGTAAAGAGTGAAAATTTGATCCGGAGGCCATTGAGATATACCAAGTGTGGAATCCCATAGTGCCATTTTAGACAGTTGCTTTTTGGAGTGAAACTGCACTTTAAACAGTGAAAGCTGATTACTTCTTGCTGCACTGTTTATTTTGTTCCAAATGTTTACGATTTGATGGAAACAACAAGCTCTAAGATAGCTTGAGATGCTATAAAAGAGTGCACCTGCAAAACATCCTTTAAGTACCGTTGCTTTTTTAGTCAATAAGGTCTTGAAACTTTGCAAATGAATAAAGGTACAGTTTTTGCTTGAGAGAAAGAGGTGGTTAAAAGACACAACACCCAGAGTGTAAATGAGCAGTAAATCATTGACATAGTCTTTTGAAATCACTTTCAGGCCTCTAAAATGCCATCATCCTCCCTACTTGGGATTCTAAGTCCCCAAAAGCATATTTTGTGAGAAGTGAGATGTGTTTACAAATTCAGAAATCACCATGCCATATGCATTGGTTTTGTTATTCCCTTTGTAAGTTGTAGCTGGAAAAATCTATTTAGATCATACTCTTCTAAGCAACCATTTCCCGAGCTATCTAATGCTATCCTAAACCTTGGACAGTCTCCCTCCTGTCCCTCAGCTGCTTCTCTGGAAGGCCATTAACCACCTCACTCCTTTCCTATTTAAAAAGCCATTTCTAATTTTCAACTTTAGATTTATTTGTGACTGGCTTATAATCATGTGTTCTTGTGCCAACATCATCATTTAACTTAAAGAGCTCTTTTCCTTCCCTGAAATATATATATAAAAAGACATCATATTCCTGCTCTGCCTTCGTCTTCCTAGGCTGAATATCTTGTTAGGCTCTCTTTGTCTTCTCTCATAAACAAGGCACTCCATCCCATGATTATTTGAGTAGCCCATCTCTGCAACCTGCTTGAGCTTTGTGGGTTTTGTTAACATACAAAGGATGTTTAAAGAATACAAATGTGAATCCAGAACCTCCCTGAGAAAATTGTTAAGTGCCTATGCTGTTTAAATGTCTACTCCTGTTAGATTAAAAAGCCCTTCATTATCAGGAATCTCCCCGTGTTAATACTTTCACATGAGCAGTCAGTGGAAAGCTATTTCATTGTACGTTGTACAGGTTTTACATAATTTCTTCAGATTCTTCAGTACACAGACCAGTACTTGCAGATGACACGTGCATTTGTGACATACAGTGGAATATTTGGGGGCTCTATAAGCAGAAGAGAGGCTTATAGGCTACTTAGTATTGCTGGGGGCAGTAGATCACACAAAGGCACATGTATTTTGAAACCTGTAGCAGGTATGGTACAGATAAGCCTACATAAGGAACAAGCTGGAGCTGAATTCTACAACTACAGTTTTTCAGCTGATACAGAAGACTACAGAAACTTGAGAACTGTAGCAACCTGAAAACTGCTGAGCAATTCCCAATAAATCCGTGAACTTTTCTGAGTAAGACATGGAAATGAAAATACAGGGGTGTGAGCAGTTCCTAAGAGATCACATCTGATGGAGTTAGTTACCGTAGCTCATCAGTGGAGGCATAGTAAAGGTCAGCCTGTTCAAGTCGAGTCCTTTGCAATACCAAAGTAAAAAGTATTAGCTGAAACACTTTCATAGTAGTTAATTGACCTTTTACAGTGGTTTAAGCAAACAGGTTTTACTTCAAATTTGCAGTGAATTTGGACCGTGCACATAATCAGCTTGCACAGCTCTATTGATGAGGGCTAACTCATTAAGCTGTGATAACTTGCTGACTTACAGTCATCTGTCCACACTCATCATGCTGCCTTTAGCAATGCGCCATAGCTGTTTTGTGCTGGAAGAGCATTAATGTTCTCTACATGTTGCTGAGAAGAACTGGAAGGCTTTTTAGCATTGAGTGCATGCAACCAAGGGATTTCACATGTCAGCAACTTAGGGGTTTGGCAGAGAGAAAACATTTGAGTGTTTTTGGAACAAGAAAACAGTATAATTTCCCCATCCTTCTTCCTGGGCTTAGGATACAGTTGAATTTCCTACCTCAACAGTCATTAAGAGCAACTTTGTACATCCTACCACTTCATCCAGCAAACAAAAAGATTTGTCTTATTGCATAAAGACACTCTTGTAATTTAAGTGCTGAAGACCAAGTAGGCCTCAAAGTTAAAACTTCACTGAGAAGAATGGGAGTCATTCATTCAGGAAGTAGAGTTGTTGTTGCACGTTCTCAGCAGATTCAGGAAGACAAGGTTGGACCTATTTTTGCATTTGGTTCATGTAGCAGTGCTTTCCTTTAGAGCTAACACTGATAAAGGCATATTACCCTGTTGCTCTGATGCGGCATAGAAATAATTAGGGATGCTTAGTTTGTTTGAAAGTAAGGCTGCCCAAAATAAGATACGCAATGAAAATTTAAGTTACTGTAATCTGGTTCTTCTGCAATGAGAATTGAAACTAATATAGAGAGCATTGTATGCAATTACAAATTATACAGGATAAATATAGCGTACTAGTACGCATTTTAAATGGTTGCTAATAATTTCAGAATAATTTTTTGTCTGATAGTAATAAGGTAAGTATTGCTTCTTCAAAAAATATTGAGAAACAAAATACAAAAAGAAATCCTTATCATGTTTCTTGGCGATGCAAGACCAAAGGTAAACACTTTGAAGCTTATAATTCTAGACAGACTTTGTGTCTCATGTTTGGCTTGATCTTGAGCATTTTTCAATTGACTTGGATCAAATTCCATAATCAAAATCATAATGACTTCTTGGTTTATTACAGTAGAATGACTTTGAAGCCAGTTCTGCTCTCCTATCACTCAAAGAGATTTCTCTAATACTTAACAATTATATGCATTTTTAAAGCAAAAGTAAAATGTATTGTTGCATCTCATAACCTTCGTTTACTGAGCCCAACTTTATCTTAACAATGTAGGATCTTGCACATAAAATTGAGCTTGTTTTGCAACATGGGAAATGTTGTAGAAGTGTGCTTAGTAAACTCACAAAATATCCAGGCAACCAATACAGTGCCAGAGTGAATCTTTTAAAATGCAGTCCTGTTCATCATCTGTGCTGTCCTTCCACCAGTTAAACTAATTTAACTGAGGGATGGCTGTAGTCCAAAGGACCTGGGACTTGTCCCATCTCTACCGTTGATTCAGTGAAGCTAAACTGCCACTGAACTGTGCAGTTTCCCTTGATGCAAGTGGAAATGGTTTGCATGAAGTAGATCCCCAACAACTTCTTTTACAGGGCATGTCTTCCCCTTGTGGTGTGTATCCACACTGTCCTGCCACACACTTTTACTTTCGCAGCACAGATGTGTAAGGTTGATGCCACAAATTCCTCCCTGTGAAGTTAACAGAAATGAATCAAGACTTGCAGGACCAGACCCACAGGTTACTTCTCTACAATATTTGCAATAAACTGATGATCATGTCATTTGCTCATCTTGCTAAATAGAGGAAAGCAGTTATTGTTCTCTCGGTCAGTTTATTTGATCATGCCCCTTTCTTTTCTTGCTGTGAGTTCTTAAATCTGTGCTAATGAGAAATGACCAAGGATGATCTGATTGGTTTTTAACATGTCGCTCCTGATTTGTGCTCCATTTTGTTCCTTGAAGTTTCACACAATAATGGCAAAACAAAGCACATTCAAAATCAAGTACTAAATGTGTAACCTATTTGCAGAATGTGTTTGTATACAAATGTATACTTCTAGTGCTACCTACATTCAAAATGTGCCTGTATGGAGCATTCTTCCTATTTTACAAGAGGTATGAAGGTGAGCAACTTGGAAATTTATAAGAAAAATCCTAATCATCATCACAATGCATGGCCAAATCTTCATATTAAAGTACTACAGAGTGCTCCTGCAAAGCTATAGAAACTGTTTAGGTATCTTCTAAATGAGTCGATAACTTTTTTTTTTTCCCTAGGATGTAATTGGAAAAGCACTGCAGTATATTGGAACATATGGTGAGCTCTGCAACACAGAGCAAGTTGTGGCTCTGATTGACGAGGAAATGTGTATCAACTGTGGCAAATGTTACATGACCTGTAATGATTCTGGCTACCAGGTAAGAGCATAGCTGTAATTAGCAGAAAGGCACGATGAGTTATCTTTCTGCTGCTGGGAAGAAAGAATCCACCTTCTGTTAATGAGCAGGTGGTAAAAACAGATGTCTAAAATACTGGATTCGAACCCCAGCATGCTCCCAGCCTATGCCGCACAAGCCCTGCCTGAGCTGTTTGTGTGGCAGTGAGAACACCGCCCAGCATGGCTTCTTCTGGGGGGCCATGCCGAGTGTACTGCATCGCGCTGGGTCGCTCTTGGTCACTCTCCCAGTCTCTCCCTAGCTGCAAGTGGGAAGTGGGATTCTTTTTAAGAGGGAGAAAATGAGGGAGACGCAAGTCAGATGGCAGTAAATGTAGCTCTTTGATGGTTTTCAAGTACATGAGGGAAAAAGGGAAGAATGCATCCCTTCTCACCAAGGGGGTGTGGGGAGACAAGAGCTGTTCTTACTGCCAAATGCTTTTTAAGAAACCTAGTCCTTGTTCCACCAGCGTAACCGAACTTAAACTAATTCCGGTTTCAGGCAGGTGGCTTTTTGTTTTCATCTTGATACAAATCCTTTCTCCAGGATAGCTGCCAGAGTTTAGAGCAGCAGGTTGAAGTTTGCAGAAATCATTGTGACCAGAAAATAGCACAATTTTGAGCTGCGGCTCCTGTTTGCAACAAAGTATTTCTCTGATTTCTGGTCGGTATGGTAACATAAGTTGTACGAAATGTATCAGCATTTCTACGTGCCATTGCTTGCCATGTCCAGTGGAGCTGCTGGACAGGTCTGCAGTGAAAAGGGCAGTACAGGAGGACTCATGTTCTTCTAGAAAACCAAAATACAGTCTAGCATAACCTCCGTGGAATCCAGTATGCAGTAAGCAATAATTTCTACATGAATTTTTCCATTCCTGCCAGTCAGAGAATAGTTTGTCAGAAACACTTTAACTGAGCACCGAGTTTCCTCTGAACACCATGACCTTTTGATTACCCTTAATTCAGTCTAATCAATAGTAGGTCTGATGAATTTAACTACATACAGTCAAAGAAAGAAGTCTTCCCATTTAAAATCAACTCCTGCAATTAAAACAAGTGTGTCAGAGTAAAGGTAAACATGTTTTTTTCGAGTGATATGAGAAAATTAATGCTGCATTTTTACCAGATTAGATTACTACAGTAGCTTTTTAACTGTCTAAATTTCTTCTTGACACTGCAATCTTCACCTCTTCTTCTTCCATCAGATTTCCTGGTGAAGGGTTGGATATAGCCCTTGGAGAGCAAAGGACTGAGTTTATATTTAGTAAAACTTTCTTTTCTATAACTGGAAAAAAAAACCCAGCACCAAAAGAACCATAGTTTAAAACCCCAGGAAGTTTTCTAAGCACAAGCAAATTTTTTTTCTTTAATTAATTAAGGAAATGGAAAATAAATTAATTGCAAAGAATTGCAAAGAAATTCTTAATTGCAAAGAGATCACTACACACATTCCCTTCGAAATAGCATCTGCTTTATGCTTCTCTTTGTTTCAAAAATACCCATGCTGCTTGACAGAGCTATCACCTTGTGTGACTCCAACAGCAAAGCTTTCCTTAACTTAAAGTTAGCACCGTGGTCTTGATTTCCTCTCCCTCTTTGAACTCAGTTTCAGGTTGTTTATTGTTGTTAGGGAGAGAGGAATGAGTCTTTCTTAAACATTCACAAACCAGAGCTCTCTTTGTGCTCAAGCTAAACTAAAACTTGTGGATTCAGGGCAGTTAGTACCTACTTCATGCCTTGGCTGGTTGCTACAACAATTTCAGTGCTTTCCTAGTAGTGAAACCCCAAATGCTGCAAATCTGCCTTTAGAGCCAACCTGCAGCACCACCTCGTAGCTCCCATCTCCTCTGGCTCCCCCAGTTGCTCATGGTGGTTAGGGAGATTTGCTAAGGCATCACTTGTTTGCAGAGAAGCAAGAGTTCAGCTGTCAGACCTGGTTTTTCCTTCCTAAAACTCTTAAAAGTAGATACTCATTCTTTTACTTTTCTAGGCTTGCTTCTTAGATATTGAAGCTTTTGCGGTTGTGTGATGCTTTTGGTTTTGCTTTTAATTGCCATTTCCATTATGCCAGAAGCTTATATCATTGAGACTGCAATTGTTATTTCACATTCAAATACACTTATCACCCTAATTGGTAATGAGGATTCACTGCATGGAAACATGAGCACTAAAGCAGGCTCTGCCTGCTTGAAACTGAGATAGCCCTTTCAAAGATTTGCAAAGGAAAATAATCACACGAGGCACATCGTGCTGTGTTTTTTTCTACTATTTATTAAATTAGATTGTTTATGCTGTGTGAAAATAAAAGTCAAAAGAATACATTGTGGCCAGTGTCGTGCTGAAGCTGTACAGGCATGGTCTGGTGTCTCCTCTTAACCAATAACCCTGGCAAATTGCTGTCCTATGAAATATTTCCTTCACATGAAGGAGAAATATCCCTCTGGGAGTTTAAACATCATGGGCCAAACTCCTTTTGTAACCAGCCCTTGTGACCTGTGAGCTTTCGCCATGGTATAATTTGGCCCATATTTCTAATTTTCAAGTGTCGGGGGGGGGGGG